GAAAATTGAGTTGAGAAACTGTCAAAAATATGGAGCAGCTCATAAAAGAGAATCTTCCAGTCAACATGACATGTAGCATTTGAAAACTTAAAGTTTTAACAAAAGTGAAAATTATATACAAAGATTTTTACATATTACTTTTATTTGACAAAGCAAAAAATTATTCTAATGCTCAGTGAAAACAATCAAGACATGTAAAACACATAATCAATTCTAATGTCTTTAAAAGGCAGATTAATTAGGGCACAGAAATGGGTCTATGCAACAGAAAATATGTACCCCATAGAATGCATGCATAGATTTTTCACTGATGACAAACTTTGAAAGTCATCTCGATATCTTTGGAGTATTTTCTGCTAACCTGCCCCATCAACCCATTTGTTGCCTTCCAAACCCATGCATTACCTATCTTTTGAATAGAGTATTGAAGCAATTACTGTTCATATATTCAAATTTCTAGGAAATTATATATAAATTATATGTCAATCTTGTAAGTGTATCTATAAAAATGAAACATAATGCTGAGTAATTCCAGTGCTCCTCTTCTTCAAAAAGAATTACTTCTTATAAAATCACCAATTGAAGCACTAGTTGTTTGTGAATTTTGTATTGCTTTCTTCAGATCAATCAATCAGATTTGCCAGAACTTAATGTGTCACCCTTCATATGGACAGTGAATTCTCCATGTAGTAGGGAAAAAGATGTGGCTGCACTTACCAAGCCACATGTTCTGGATCTAATATTAACTACCTTCCTGGTAGTTTCCTTACCTATGTCATGTAGCACCACTGTGTACATGAGCACTGGGCACTGATAATCAATCTGTGGGCATGCACTTTTGCTTATTGCCAAGACCAAGAAGGCACAGAGTCTGGAAGACTTGGCCAGGACCACCTCAGTATTCTATTGGTAGTATAATAGCAATTATACTAGGGCTTGGTTCACTTGTGAAATTCAAGTCATTTTTGTAAAAGCTATAGACAAGTCTTCTCCTTTTTCTAGGTAGAATCATCATAGATGTCAAATATGTATTTGTTGTACAAATGAGTGAATGATCAAATCGATGCAAGACAGGGCTTTCTGCTTCTGTTGAAGCCCCATCTATGTCTATGTCTCAAAACATCATCCTGTAATCTTGTTAAAATAAAAGACAGGTTATGTCATTCATCTGGCTCAATATCCTCCAAGTCGCCCAGCTTACCCTGAGTAAAGACCAGTCATTACCCTGATTTACAAGAGCACTCTGCCACATTCTTCACCCAGTGTCAACATGCCTCACTCCATTGCAGACCACAAAGTATTTACTTATATGTAACTTTCGCAGTGAAACATTTCCTATTTTATTTTAAAAGTATGTCTTCTAATACCCCTTGTCTCATTCTCTGCTTTATTTTTATCTGTAGTATTTATTGCCATATTGACATTCCACAAATTTGCCTTTCTCTTTTAATTAATTTTGACATATTTACAGTCTAAATGTATGCACAATCTACATTTCTATGTCTTCTATGGACTCCCTGATTAGAAAACTAGCACACAGTAGGCATGCAATAAATATATTTCAATGAGTGAATGAATAAAGGAATCTCTCTTAACAACTCTGAGTGCTTATACAGTTCTTTTTGCAAATGAGCCCCAGAAACATACAGTTGTTTTGCTTAAACCAATGAACATTTTGCAAAAACCTTGTTACCTAGGGAGATTCTCTCCAGACACACTTCAATTTTACCCAAATAAACCAGTAAACTGAATCATGACTAGAAGAGTCAACGGTCAAATATATCCCACAGCCACTAATAAAGTTTATTAAAGGCTGTGTATAGACTAAAATTATTCAGTCATTGGTCAAGGAAAACTTTCATTATCTTCAACTAGAAAATAGTCATAAAGCTGTCCACAATTTCTGCAGTTGGCTTTTCTATGTATAGTAAACTCTCTCCCATTTTGGGTCTTATCACAGTAGTTACCTACGTTTCATTCCTCTGAAATGATAAAAAGAAACCCATGTGAAACTGGGATTGCTGTTTACTTTGCAGTAGATATTTTGATTGCTATTACCTTCTACACAGGATGGGAAAATGGTGGTATTAAAGGACATAGAATGATCTGTTAGCATGGCATGACTAAGAATAAATAAGTATGAATACCTTGAAATAAGAGGTTCTTTTTCATAGTTTAATATCTTACTCATGGTGAGCCATCTTTCTAATTAGTGCAAAGTATGGTCCACAAGTGACCCAACGATGAAATGTCTTTAGATTCTTTTCAAAACCTGTCAGTTAAATGGATTAACAAAAGGTTGAGTGACACTTATAAATTAATTTGGTTAACTTCCAAGCATAGCAGATGAAACAAGCTTTTGCCTAGCTTGATTTATAAAGGATTACTTGGTCTTTATAGTAGCCAAAAGAATAATTTTTAATGCAAAATATTCTTTATAAAATTTCTATGAAAGACAAAATTTCTCTTATTTCCCAATTCTGCTAGTTTTCTGTAAGTTATTGGTCATATTAGCTTTAAAGGTTCCTTATATGCTTATTGGACTGAGATCCAACAGAAATTAACCAATGTGCCAAAGAATTAGGGGCTTCAGTTGAGAGAAAATTAGTGAGTCTTCAACTCTTTGCCATTATCTATCCTAATAAAAAGATGTAACTTAATTAATTGCCTGATTCATTCCAGAAATATTTATTAAGCACCATTAGCTAGATATTATTCCATGTTTCTCTTCATTCAAGATCTCAATCTCTACCTGCCAAAACAGCCAAAACAACACAGATCACTGAAGTCCATAAGGCATGTACAGACTGCAGTGAAAGCTCAGAACATGCTGTGACTCTCATGAGCTTGGAGAGAACAAAAGGCTTTGCTGAGAAGATGAGTATGACAATCATTCTTCTATGGAATAACAAGTCTAACTCAAATTCACAAAGGAAAAGAAGTCCTGATAACCCCTTATTCCTATAGAGTGGATATTTTTTGGTGGCTTTTTTTTTTTTCATGTGGATGATACAATAGAGAAATAAGGCAGAATATTTCAAAAGAATCCAGGGCAAGGGGATGCCAGGGAGAAAACCAAATGGCACGTGTGGGCATAAGTAGGTGTGTGTATGTGTGTGTGTGTGTGTGTGTGTGTGTGTGTGCATTCTTGTGTGTCCATTTACACCAGTACATGGATGTACAGGTGTGCTAGTCAACACTAGACAATGAGAGAGTTGCTATTATACTACCAATAGAATACTGAGGTGGTCCTGGCCAAGTCTTCCAGACTCTGTGCCTTCTTGGTCTTGGCAACAAGCAAAAGTGCATGCCCACAGATTGATTATCAGTGCCCAGTGCTCATGTGCACAGTGGTGCTACATGACATAGGTAAGGAAACTACCAGGAAGGTAGTTAATATTAGATCCAGAAGATGTGGCTTGGTAAGTGCAGTTTTTCAACCACAAAAAGTAATAATTTTAGAATAACATGGCTATGACTCACTTATTCACAATTTACCCCAATCAAAGCATCATTGCCATCAATCCAATGATTCCCCTATGATTTGATCAACAAGACTGGAGAACTCACCCTCACTGAACATTTCTTAGCCTGATACTTTGCCAAAAATATCTCTTGAGCTCATCTCACTAGCTCTAACTTGCACATTTATTTTAGGAATAAAAACATGAGTATTTATTCCTAAACTAAACACATCTTTGTTTATATTGCTATGAAGGTGCAGAGGACTGACTTTGAGCCTTCGTTAACTCAAAGCCAGTTTGCTGCACCTTCATAGCAATATAAGCAAAGATGAAGATATATGTCTGCATAACTATGAAAAGTGTGAGTTAATAATGCCCTCTACAACTTTGCAAATGACACTTCTTAAAGTATTAAAAAATACTTTTTTTTTGACTAGAGAAACATGAGGGGATGAAGTACGTAGTATAAAAAATTATTGATAATCACTGATGATCTCTATCATTTAGAAGTACAAATTTCTATGATAAATGCAATGGCATGACACTATTGTTAAATTATTAGGCAATAAATGGGGAAGAAGTATTATGTTTTACATAACACTTGGTGGTGATTCAAGAGAGACTAAAACAACAGAAATGGTAAATGGTTTCATTTTGAATCATAATACCTATCTTTGATAGCTGCCTGCAATACTGTGCTAACAAGTATTTCAATATTAAGCCCCAATCAGTTTAAAAGTATAAAGCAACTCATGATCATGACAGCAGAAAGCGTTAAGGTGAAACGTGTTAAATTTTTGATCCCCATTTCACCAAGAAAAACAATAATGACTTTTAACATGATAAAAAAAAGTTAACAAAAATAGGCAGTCAAAGAATTAGTAACTCTTTTTTTGGTGTGTGTGAGAAAAGCCTAGCATTTGTCCCAAGACTTAATGGCTTATTTTGCTATTATCTGGTAGCTTTGTTCTGACTTGGCAGGATGTCAGAATATCACATCAATGGAGACAAAACAGGATTTAACATCTTGGATAATTGGAAGAAAAAAGAAATTAATTAGATAATTATTTGAAACTCATTATATTTTGAACTTGTTGGTTTTTAAATTTTTAGTGGCCTAAGTAATAGTTCAAATAACAGGAAATAAGAAAAACTCTGTAATCCCAGCACTTTGGGAGGCTGAGGCAGGTGCATCATGAGGTCAAGAGATCTAGACCATCCTGGTCAACATGGTGAAACCCAGTCTCTACTAAAAATACAAAAAATTGGCTGGGCATGGTGGCGTGTGCCTGTAATCCCAGCTACTCGGTAGGAGAATTGCCTAAACCCAGGAGGCAGAGATTGCGGTGAGTCGAGATCGCCCCATTGCACTCCAGCCTGGGTAACAAGAGCGAAACTCCGTCTAAAAAAAAAAAAAAAGAAAGAAGAAAGAAAGAAGAAGAAAGAAAGAAGAAAGAAAGAAAGAAAGAAAGAAAGAAAGAAAGAAAGAAAGACTCACAAAAATTTCTTCATGTTAAAAAATATATTTTTGCATTATTTGTCTACTTTGGGAATAGATGAGTCTCACTAGCTATTATTGAATATGTTTCTATTTGTTTCAAACCTATATAAGAATTTTTAGAGCAAAAAATTTAAACTATTTACAAATGTTTCTCTAATTATCACAAAACTATCTTCACGAGCTATATTATTTGTCTCAGCACAGTGGTTTCGTCTGGTTCCTTGCTGCCTCCCTGACCTCTAAATTTTGAAGTTCATTCCGTAGACCTCTCTTTATATTTATTTATACCTACTTCCTTGGATGTATGTAGGCTTAATATACCAGTTATATACTGCCAATAATACAACTTCAGTCAAGAACTTCCTCCTGGACCCATTTTCAACTGCCTACTCAATATCTCCAATTGAATGATTAACAAGAACTGAACATGTCCATAACCAATATCTTGATCTTTTCCTCAAAATCTGCTCAGTCTTGTCCAGTTTATTCATGGCTGTTCTGTCCTTCCAAGCACTCAGACAGAGTCTTCATTCAGTCTTCCTTTGTGTTCTGTTTCCTTTCCATCACCCCTCCAATCCATTAGGACATCCTATTGGCTCTACCTTCAAAATATATCCAGAATTCACTCAATGTTTATTATTTCCATCACCAACACCTTGAGTCCACCATCATATTGTGTACAGTTTATTGATAAACTTCTCAGCTAGGTTTTCTATTTCTACCAGAGTCAATAATTCCTACTTTTCCAGAGTCTATAATTCTCAGCACAGCAACTGTGTTAGTTTCCTATTGCAGCTGAAATGACGATCATAAAATCTGTGGCTTAAGACAGAAACTATTTATGATCTCACAATTTTCATGTCAGAAGTCCAGAACAATATGGCTCAGCTGGTTCTCTGTTTAGGTCAAAATCAAGATGTCAGTAGATTGCATTTTTTTTTTTGGAGACTCTCGGAGAAAATATTTCAAGATCATCCAGGTTGTTGGAAGAATTCAGTTCCATGCAACAGAAGTCTGAGGTTCCCAGTCTTCTTGCTGGCTTTCAGTTGGATATAACTAAAAGTTTTCCACCTTACTTGGCTTATCCCTCCTTCTTTGATAATCAAAGCCAGCAAGGGAGGGTGGTATTTTTCTCACACTTTTTATCCTTCCTCTGCCTCCTTCTGCCGCATCTCTCTGATGGACCCCAGGAAGAGAAATGTCTCTACTGTCAAGGGCTGAAGTGACTGCAATGGATCTATCTAGATAATCCATGATCTCACTATCTTAAGTCCTGTTACCTTTGCAAAACTCCTTCACAGCAGTAACTAGATTCATGTTTTATTGACTAACCAAGGTAAGGGAATTTCAGGGAACATCTTTAGAATTCTGCCTGCCACAGTAAGGATCCTGTTACATATAAACTGGACTATGCTTTTCCTTTACTCTATAGTATATAATGATATCTCATTTCATTCAAAATAAAAGCCATTTTTTAAGAATATTCTACAAAGGCCTGTGAAATCTCTTCTCAATTACTCATGACTTCATTTCTTATTAGCCCTACTGCTCAGGTTTTCCTCTTAGAAGACTGTTTTTTGTCTTGTTTGTTCTTTGTTTTTTTGTTTGTTTGTTTTGAGACCGTGTCTCACTCTGTTGCCCAGGCTGGAGTACAGTGGCTCAGTCTTGGCTCACTGCAACCTCTGTCTCCCAGGCTAAGCAATTATCCTGCCCCAGTTTCTCAACTAATTGGGATTACGGGTGTTCACCACCAAAGTCAGATAATTTTTGTATTTTTAGTAGATACCATTTTGGCCAGGCTGGTCTCAAATCCTGAACTCAAATAATCCTCCCACCTCAGCCTCCCAGAGTGCTGGGATTACAGTCATAAGCCACTGTGTCCGGCCAAGAAGACATTTTTAAATACTTAGCTCTTTTTGAAAAACTTTAAGTATATTAAGAAAGCACTCATTCATCTATAATTTCAAGAGTACACTAAAATTTTAAAATTTAATTTGTCTAAACTTGTGTTTCATGATCTCAGCACTATTTACATTTTAGGCAAGATAATTCTTTGTTGTAGAGAGATGTTCTGTGTTATAAGGTGGTTAATATATCCCTGGCTTCTACTCACTAAATGCATTCACACCCTCCAGTTGTATTAACCAAAATGTCTCCCAACATTGCCAAATATCTCTGGGGTGCCGAAATTTCCACAAAATGTTAAAATAAGAATGGCTATAACACCACAGGCACAAAGGTACTAATCCCCTTAAACATCTAATTTCAGGAGTTTCAGAACTTCTTTTTTAATACATTTTTTATAAATTTTACTTTGGAAAGATAAAACTGAAATGACAGCAGTTTCCATATTAATAAACAACCTTGATTCAATCAAAAACATAAATCAAACATAAGCTAAGATTAAAAAATTTTTTAAATGCTTAATGAAAATAAATAAAAAACTAAATAAATGGTTTATAGTAATTATTAGCACAGAGAAATGTAAGTGGGCTAGTAAACAATGTATAATCACATCATCAATCCTTTTTATAATAGGTTAACAAAACCTGTCTTTCTGCAAATGCCTGATATTAATATCCAATCTCCTGGTTTTAGGAAATCCATTTTGAATAAACTATGGCTGCATGTTTAAGAAGTCTCTGCTGAATATTTAAAATGCATCATGAATAGATTTTAAATAAGAGCTTAGTGCATGTCCTCTGCCATTCAGCATAAGGTTAATTACTGTAAAACTCTGGAGTACTGCAAGATTTGAGAAAATAAAAGTCTAATAAATGAATCCAAGTTATTTTCAAATGTTTTGATGGAAAAATTACGTATGATGTAATGGTCACATGTTATTTCTGATATCTGGACAAGAACAAAAGTATCATTTCAGAAACAGTGTGAACTCAAGGGTGCATTCTAGTTTCAGCAGCAGAAAGAGAAAAATAAAACCTTCAGATACAATGACTACCCCAATGATTACAAAAGTTATCTCCAAAGTCATTAAAGAATGAATGTACCTTTAAATTTAAAATACCATAAAAGCACAAAGAAATGTCTTCATTTTCAGCAGCATGCAGGCACTACTGAAGACATTTAGAAATAAAAATTCAAAATCAATTTTTATTCAAAATCAACTACATAATTACTAAGAATATTTTAGAACAAATTAGCTATATCTAGACTATTGTTAGAATTACCATTTTTAAGACTTAACATTCTAACATTTCTTTCTAAAATGACTTAACATATATGCAAGTCTATGTTTTCAATTAGATGAAATTAAGATGATACTTTAATTAATGCTGATTTACATTTAGAGATGTCTAGCATCAGTTATTAGGAGAAGTCTTCATCTATCGATCTTCATTCTGTCATTCAGCCAACATTTCCTGAGAGTCTTCTTTGTACCAGGTTTTGTTCTTTGCAGTAATGAACAAGAAAGAAATAATGCCTCTGGTTATAAATCTTGTGTTCCAATGGATGAAAAAGATAAAGAAACAAATTAACAAGTAATGAGTAATAAAACAAAAGGTAATGATAGTGATAAGTACAAAATGATAGAAAGGGTCTGGGAATTCACTGCATTGGGGTTGAAGAGGGGTCCCTGAAGAAATGATTCTATACCAACCCTGAATGAGAAGAAAATCTCTAAGACTCCGGAGAAAAGACATAACAACTGTCTTGTATGTAATCAACTATTTCTTACGAGTAAGCTGGAGTCCTGTGTCTCAGCTTTCAAGTTCAATGCACAATGTTTCTTCCTAGAATCAATCATAAGAAAGAGAAAAGTAAGAAGAAACCAGAAGATGCCACAGGGTCTATTTATTACCATGTCAGCTGTTGTCATAATTTGACATACATTCTAGATATATAAAGCTTTTTTCAAATGACTTAATGACTCTTCAAAGAGCAGTAAGTCCTGTGATTTTCAAATGGAAAGTGGGTGTTTTCACTCAAATGGTTTAAGCACTGTGGAAAATTTTCAGTTTGTGCCGAAAGAAAAAAAAATTAAAATTTCAAAGTAAAAATAAACGGTAATCAACCATCCAGTGACAGTTCAGAGGGGATGTAAAATCAAAGAGAAAGAGATTATTGAAATCGAAAAAATAATGAAAACATTTGTAGGTTCAGAAGTTATGGGAATTAGGACTAGGAAGAATTGCAAATAAGAGAATCGTGATTGTCTTGCAACTTTGAAGAACATACCCACTTTAAACTGCCCTATATTCTTCAGAGGCAAACTAGTGTCTGTCCAAACATCTGTCCTGAATATAAGTTTGCAAAAGTTTTTCTATAAAAGGGAGTCTAATATTCATGAGTGAGAACCCACTTTTTATTTTTAGGAGGAAAGTTATAAACAGCTCCTACTTTATGAAAACTCCATGCCTCCCTAAATATGTCCAATCCTTCTATACTGATTTGGGAATATGAGTGAATCTCACACTGAACTGATAGAAAAAGCTGAGGCTGTGGAATCAGGTAGGAATAAAAATGAAAGAGTAAGGTAAGGAAATTGACTATCGGTTGATATCTTAAAAGACAAAGGAAGCTTCTTTAAACTTAAAATCTTTGATTCTCTACTCCATTATGATTCATTTGTAAAATAAATCACTATCTCCTTCAAATGTTATTCCTAAGACATTTATAACCCCCAGGAATATCGCATTAATTATAAACATTAACTTGTTACAATTATCAGTTATTAAACATTTTAAATTATTAATATAATCAGATTAGTTTTCATGTTTTCCATCCAATGGAACGATTTTCTATTTGAATTATGAAAATTTTCTGTGCACTCTGAAGGATCTGAATAAGTTATGATGAAAAGAAAATGGAAAATAAAAACAAAACTAATCTTAATATAAAAATTTTAAAGAATGAACAAAATATTAGCATTTAGTTCCCTAAAATACAATGCCAAATCATTTGTAAATTCCTGTGAATGTCTGTGTGTAATACACATTATTCTTAGGTAATTTATTCAGAAGTACTTTCTACCTCTTTTCAATGATAGATGATTGCCCCATGGTTAATGCATTTGTGTAAAAAATGAAAGAGATCTGTAATGGGGGCATACGGCTTTGCCATTATTTTAAGTATGTGTATTTAAAAGTGATGATTCTGATCTGTATGGTTTATATGAATAACTTCCACTTGGTAGATATGTTAAATTTCTCAGCATGTGGGAAGATCATTTTAATGCAGGAAACAGTAATTTATTATATGTATATTTGTTAACTGGCATAGTGATTCTTAAAATGGAACACTTTTCTTTCTCACTGTTAAGATGAGAATCCTGGTATCACTAAGTGCTCACAACCAAATGCCATATCTTTATGTAGAAAGAAGTTAATATTAAACATTGACATTTTATGTATAATATGACAGAGTAATTTGTTTTGTTACCAGCAATTGGATAAATTGCAGTTTAGCATGAGCAATTTCTATAAGCATGTATAAATGAACTGTGGACAAAAATATTGTTTATGGAATTCTGTATTTGTATATATTAATTGCCTGGGTTTTAAAGGATGATTGATGCATTATAATGTAAACTTCAAATGCCCTTCAAATTAACAGCCAGAGCATGAATTTAAATCTTACAAAGAAATAGCTTTAGAAGCTCTACTTTTTCATTTTGAGGATACCTATGAATATAAAGTTTTCTCTTTTTTTAAAAAAACTAGACTTTAAAAGCCTACTGAACACATTTTAAATGCATTTATAAAACACAGTTTGTGTTAATGGGTAAAATTTCAGGGTTAAGTGAGAAAAATAAGTATCCCAAAGCTTCAAATGTTTCATCCTCAAAATCAAGCATTGGTAGTAAAATGAATGAAATATGTGTCCCCAACTCTCTTCTGATAAAAATACACTTTATTTAGGATGTGTAGCAAGTAGGGCTTTTCAGCAAGTCAGCTAATTGTGGTTATCTAAATGAACCAGAATCATCAATTCCAACAAAGCTCACCTAATTTGTATCTTAAAACAATCTTTTCCCAAGTCTCCTAGTATTCTGTAACTAACAAAACCAAGAATTCTGATTTTAACAATATTTCTTAAAGAATTTAAATTGTTTTTCTTTACCTGCTTTTATAGTTTCATTTCCATCTCCAGACAACATCAGGGCATGCTAAAAATAACAAATGTGATTAATTCTCAATTACCTGTAATAAACAGAAGGCAAACAGGGAACCAGCATGATGGAATAAATTGCATCCACTGATAGTTTAAAAATCCAATTTTAACCATTGCTTTCAACCTCTTCCTTATTAACAAATAAAATTGGACTTCGCTCAGTTCCACTTCCTGTTTCTTCATCTGAAAATTTCCCTGATGGAGTTTGTGACCTGAAGATGCGTCTCCAAAACGGGCACAAGGGGACAAAAGGAGAGCAAGAAACAGGATTACAAATTCGACGTTTCATTCCAAATACATAAAATCATAATAAATAACTAAATCACATTAAACGTTATTTCAAAGAACTGATTTACTCATTTTAGAGACAGCTTTCAAATGGACCCTAGGATTGGACTAGAATTTATAGGAGTTTCTTCCTAATATTAAAAGTACATGATTTTGTATATAATACAGAATTGTAGGCACATAAATAAACTTCAGGGAGGCTGAGGCAGGGGGATCACCAGGTCAGGAATTCGAGACCAGACTGACCAACATGGTGAAATCCTGTCTGTACTAAAAATACAAAAACTAGTGGTGTGTGGTGGTGAGTGCCTGCAATCCTAGCTACTCAGGAGGCTGGGAGAATCATTTGAACCAGGAGTTGGAGGTTGCAATAAGCCGAGATTGTGTGCCCAGCCTGAGCAACAGAGTGAGACTCCAATTCCAAAAAAAAAAAAAAAAGTAATTTTATAATTCGGTAGTAAGAATGTGTAATGTTCATTTAAAATATATGTCATTGTTAATTATATGAGGAAATGTAGATTTGTGCACAAACTTGATCTAGAAATCACAAAATCTAGTTCATTCTTAATCTTCTAATGCTTTGAAAAAATCATTTAATTTGGCTGTAGTTTCCTTATTTGTATAAGGAAGAAAATAAAGATGTTGAGAACTATATAATTTATAAATTCCTTTCTGGATTTGATTAATCTAATTAAAAATCAGATGTAAGTGAAAATTCCTAGAAGAAAATAATTTTGCGGGGTGAAAATTTGTTATGGGGTGAGAATTTGTACCTGAAATCTGTGTTATTCTTTGTTGTATGTCTGTGTGTGTGTGCACGTGCACCTGTGTGTGTGTGTGTGTGTATGTGTAACCTTTATTCTTTTTTTTTTTTTACATTAGGCCTCCAGAATTTATTCATCTTATAACTTAAGGTTGTACCCCTTGACCAACATCTCCACATTTCCCCACCCACAGCTCCTGGCAGCCAGCATTCTACAGTCTGCTTCTGAGTTTGACTTTTTTAGACTCCATATATAAGTAAGATTATGCAGTGTTTGTTTTTCTGCGCCTGGCTTATCTCAGTTAGCATAATGTCCCTCAGTATCATCCATTTTGTTACAAGTGACAGTTATTTTTCCTCTTTTTTTAATTGCATTTAAGTTTGGGGGTACATGTGAAGAACATGCAAGACTGTTGCATAGGTACACATGTGGTATTGTGATTTTCTGCCTTCCTCCCCTTCCCCTATATCTGGCATTTCTCCCCATGCTATCTCTCCCCAACTCCCCACCCCTCGCTGTCCCACTCCGATTTCCCCCCAACAGACCCCAGTGTGTAGTGCTCCCCTCCCTGTGTCCAAGTGTTCTCATTGTTCAACACCTGCCTATGAGTAATGATGAGACCCATATATATGGGATTTCACATTGCAATTTTTCAACTTTTTTGCCTAAAAATTTTCATAATAAAATTTTGGAAATAAAAGTGAAAATTACCTCTAAATAAATTCAAGGTAATATTAGAAGATAATTAAATATTGCATCAGTTCATCTTTTCTGATCAGACAAGTGTTTCTGAGTATATGGGGCTAGTAGCACCTTCAGACAGTGCTGGTAAGAATGTAAAATGCAATAATCACTTTGACACGCAATTAGGGTCTTTCTTCAAAATTTAAACATATAACGACTAGATAACCCAGCCATTCCACTCCTAGGTATTTACCCAAGAAAATGAAAAAGGAAACATACTACAGACAAGAATGGATATTTATAATAGCTTTATATGTAAGAACCAAATGCTGGAAACAACTTGAATGTCCATCAGCATGTGATGGATAAACTGTTTATCCAAGGGAATACTCATCAGCAACAAAAAGAGATGAACTCTTGATAACTGTGGCAATATGAATGAACTTCAAAGCCATGCTGTTGAAAGAAGCCAGGCAAATGTAAATATTCTATGCTTTTAACTGGTGAAAGCCTATTAGTTGTTACCTGGAGACAAGGTGGAGAGAGGTTAGAGAACAGGCTGTAAAAGGGCGTGAAGAAACCTTTTGAAATGACAGAAATATGTGTTGTGGTGATATCTTATTTTGGGGTGGTGGTGGCATGTGCATATGTTGAAAATTGCCAAGTTTTACACTTTAAATATGTGCAATTCAGTTTAAGTATGCCTTCATGAAATTTCAAAAATTGGTAGAAATTGGTCTTTTCAAGCATTTTTGAACACACCAAGAGAAATACCATCAGAAATATGATAAATATAAAGAATACTATAATATTAAATTCACAGGGTTTTCCTTGTGCACAATAGCTTTTATGATTTCCAAGCGGCCTTCCTGGGTATGTGTTGTCCATAGTGGGTATGCCAGCTTCATAGATGTGCTTTGCAGGTATGCCACCTGTGCTGTCACAGAGGATTCAATGCTTGGTTTAATGCTCTACTCTTGCCATCTCAAAATGTCTAAAAGTCTTTGAATAAAGGGTCCTTATTGTCATTTGCTACTGTGCCTGGTAAATTATGTAGCCAGTCCTGTCCCATATTTTAACATCTTTAGAGGGGCAATTTAATGTAATTGAGACTTATGGTAATAAAGAATAGATCTGATCTCCAAGTGTCTCTGTCCACATTTTGGAAATAAGTGACAAGATACAGGAAATTAGATTGCAGTGTGGGTTTTGGGGGTATCACTGTCAGAATAGAATGTTAAAGACTCAAAGCACATGCTAAACAAAGACTTTCCTGACTAAACTAGGAAACAGCAATCTCTGGAGTTCTGGATATTTAATGAGAAACTCCCAGCAGGTCGAATTTCTTCTTTTATTTTTTTTCTATTTCAGGGTATTAAATTATACATCATTCCCCTGATGTATGCTCAGTAGTTAGAGGTCTCCTGTAAGCGTTATTAGAGAGTTGATGATGTACATGTTATTTGCTGTAGGGCTTTGCAGAGACAGACACATTAAACTGTCCTCTACAGATGTTTTTCATACCACAATTACCGAAACAGCCACGTACTGTACTAAACTTTCCAGGCAAAAAGTGGAAACAGAGTACCATTGTAAGACTACTAACGTTATTCAGTCTCCTTCCCCCTCCTCTTTTATTTTTACCAACAAGCATAATGAATATCAATAAACCAACCTGTACTATCAACAGGTGAAGCTGATTAATAATGTATCCATAGGTGACTTGCTGGAATTTCTTTGTGAAACAAAAGCTTACCTTCTCTTTTCCTTCTGTTTCTTCTCCCACTTAAAAAGCTTCAGGTTTTTTGCATATGGCTCAGTGGAGGCCAAGAAAAAGTCTTTGCTACACAGAAACTGACAAGAAAAATAACAAGTCCTAGGTCATTTGCTTGATGTCTTAGAGCTAGCTGTCTTTTAGAAACTGTTTATAAAATATTCTGAGACTTTGCTGAGCTATGAAACTTCTTCACTACAGGAAAAGTACAGACAATAAAAATTCAGGAGCTGAAAGAAAGGAGGAGGTAAGTCGTTCATATTAATAACCTGTAATTGGGCTTGCAGTAAGAATTGATATATAATGGTGGGTATCAACTTCACATTTCAGCTCATAGGCAGGTTGTTCATATTACTGAGAAAACTAGTGTAAAGAAATAACATGTTAGAGTCAGAACTCAGAGAACATAGGGCTGCATGTGTCATTGCTGCAAACACATAGATTATTATGTGACTATATGGCCAAGGGCATTTCAGCCAAATGAATTTTGTGCCCTAAATATTGACAACTAATTCTACCCAGGGTATAGGGATAACCTTGAGCTAATTATTGATCAGATGTCTGGCTTGGGAAGATCTCAAGGTTTTCACTTGCAAACAGTTCAAGAATTGTGACTGTGTTCTGGGTCCTCCCAGATCCAGAAAGTATGAGGAAAACCACAATTACCAGAGTACCTCAGGAGGCCCAGGCCCCGGATGTGCTGCTTCTACCATATTGTGCCATGACCTTCAGGGTTACATGATTGCCAACTCTGATATCAGAGGTAATTCATTGCCCCAGTCACCTCTTAAGCTGTTAAAGTGAATGCTCTATAAATTCAAAATAATATATCACACAAAAAGATTCCTAACCCAAGGGATCCCTAACCCAAGTTATATTTAGCCACATTGCCAAAGTGAACATTATTCCTGAATTCCACTTTTGTCATTGTTTTTTGGCTGTTTTATCTTTTCAAACTTTACTTTTGTTATATCAACTTTTGTCCTACAGTCTTGTAGTAGAGAAACTCTATCACACACTCAAGTAGAGGAGAAAAAGTTATAGAAGCAAATTTACTTCCCAAAAGGAAGAAACTGTTCATTCTTCTAAGGTATAAGGCAACATAAGATGTCTGTCTAGACTATCTTGGAAGATCATGCATAGAGAAAGGGAAAAAATTCAGAAGAAAAGAAAGCCTTTGATAGAAGCCAGGTCCTGCTTCTACTGTAATTTTAAAGGCAAAGATTTTTTATTTCTAATATAATACAATTGTATGAAATAGAAGAATAAGTGAAAAAAATAAATATTTAAGAAAAGAAGATGGTACATCATGAAAAATATTTTACATTATTTGGAGAGGGGAGAAGACATCATGAAATTCCTTGCTAGCACACTGACTCCAGCTTGGTTTAATCTATACAAGGGTTGCTCATCCTTGTCACTGTTAACATTTTAAGCGAGATAATTCTTTGTCTTGTACATTCTAAAATATTTAGCAGCATGTCTGGTCTTTACCCATTATAGTGGTCCCTCAGTATCCATGGGGAATTGCTTCCAGGACCCCAGATGCTCAAATTTCTTATATAAAATGTCATGGTATTTGCATACAACCTCTGCACATCTTTAAAGCATCTCTAGATTACTTATAATACCTAATACAACATGAATTCTATGCAAATAGTTTTACATAGTATATTTTATTTGTATTAGTTTTAGCTGTTGCATTATTT